CGATGCGTCTTGACGAGCTGAACACAATGAGACCATCCACGCGTCTGTATCTTGTTCCTGTACGGAGATATTGGCCAAAAACCTTTGGTGACCTTTGATGACGTCACATGACCTCACAGCTGCCCAACAGCAAAACAGACCTCAAGGTAGTGAAGGTTGATCGTATATGAAGTCATGTATGGTATATGGGGCCATTCCGACCCGTTTTAGTGGTAAAAACAGGGAGTTGATTTTCCCCCCATTGACTTATAATGGGGAGGTCGCGAAATTGACCTGACCTTAGGTCACCGATATCAAAATTCCGAGATATACAAATTGCACATACTGGTACCCTAACTAAACCCTGAAGAGAAGAAATTGATCGGTCAAAAACTTTAGCTCTGGCGTGATTGCAAACTTTTCTGAGGTAGGGTCACCAAACCGCCTCTGGTGACCTGACCTGAGGTCAGATCAACTCAAAATTTTCAGACATGTTGCGTAGAAGCCTTTTAGGAAAAGTCAGAAAATTTGAGCTTCCTAGCTCAACGCGTTTGGGAGAAATAACCAAAAAACCTCAGAGGGGGGCTCCTGAGGCCCCCCCCCGCCAGGAATAGGGTTAACACGCGCAGTGGAAGGGGGGGGGGGCGGATTTCGCCCACCCCTCCTGTTTTTCGCCAATAACTCGCGCCGCAAACAAAATATTAATGTGAAATTTTGGCTACCTGCCCAGAATTGAATGGCGGATCTTGTCGTGCAAGAAATAAGAAAATCGGTTCACAACTTTTCCAGTAAGAGCGATGTAAAGTCAAACATCCTGCCGCCGCGGCGCGGCGGCGAGGCGGCCGGCGCTAGCCGTTACGCGCCGCCTGAATTGTAGACTGTGCCGGGGCGGGACGGTTCCGTCTTTACATCGCGCTCCTTACCGCTGATTATATTAGATTCGCGTCAAATTTGGTGAGAAGACTGAGAAATGTACAGGGAATCATAATATGGTCAAAGAATTTTGAAAATCGGCCGGTAACAACTTGAGTTATGAGTGTGTAAACACAAAATTGTGATTGCCGCGTTTCCCGCGTCGGCCGATCCCGCTTCAGCCGGTGACATCTTACCCTTAGCAGGCTTCTAACCAGTAGCGGCGGAACACCTTCAATTAAGGGGGGCACTGCCGACTTTTGGTCCTATTCTTTCCATGCAACGCCCATAGGGCTAATGTTAAAATGCCAAAATCAAAGGGGGGCACGGTGCCCCGGTGCCCTCCCCGTTCCGCCGCCTATGCTTCTAACTGCCATATTTATTGTTGGATTAACTAGAAATTCACCTTACATACTCACAAATGTTGGGTCTTTCGTATAGTGAAAGAAAAAAGAAAATCGGCCTGTAACTTTTTGAGTTATCGGCGTGTAAACGCAAAAAAGTCGCTAATATGGCAGATTTGACCACATTTGACCTCATTTGACCTTGAAGATATTGACCTAGGGTCATGAAATTCACACACAACAGAGTTCCCCATGGCCCCCACCTACCCTCCAAATTTCGTCTTTCTAGCTCCAGTGGGAGCTGAGATCTTAGGGGGGGGGCGACATCCGCCCCCCCCCCCTTCCACTGGGCGTAGTACTGGCAACCCTTCCACTGCGCGTGTTAAGGCCTTGATCGAGCAGATTGGTGTCTATTGTTTCGCACGGCAATCGTCCAGAGACGTGGGAACTGGGGGTTATGAGTAGTGCCGCAGCCAACGCTCCAATTTAAAGCGATTATTACTGTTGCTGTAATATGTGGTCGCAGCCTCCAATAGCAAACCGTTCCAACTAGGAGCCAAAAAGTCGGCCACTCAGGGGGGTTCGAACCGGGCTTCTCCCACCGGCCAATACACGGCACGAGCGTTCATCCACTGAGCTACCGAGAATGGTCCTTGTCCGCACAAAACAAAATGACATTCACCCGCTGACCGCCAATGACAGTATTGTGACATTTGATCGCGTTTGACCGCGGCGGGTGGTCGCTGGTTTCGGCAGCTCAGTGGATAAACGCTAGCGTCGTGGGGTGACCGGTTGGAGAAACCCGGTTCGAACCGTCCCAGGTGCGCGACTTATTTGTTCCTAGATGGAACGGTTTGCTATTGGTGGCTGCGACCACACATTAGAGGAACATAAGAGTTGCTTTGGGACGCCGCGCTATCCAAAAACCCCAGTTCCCACGTCTCTGGACGATTGCTGTGCGAAATAATAGACACCAATGAGCTCAATCAAGGCCTTAATACATATCTGTTAAAAACAATGTAGCTCCGCAACTCGATGCACGTGTGATATAAATTCTATCGGCTGTCCCAATGTCACGTTTAAGTGTGTCGTAATGTGCATGGCAAGTATGATGATAGCGCTGTCTTGGGGATAGGACATTTTAACGACTACTTTAGCATAATTGTTAGGTAGAATAATTGGCGCCTTGAGACGCGAAAGTTAACTACACTCGCTCAGCCGCGCGATGGTCCGTGCTCCCACCCCACCTCACTCCCCAGCCCTCGCCAGCCGCCGCGCCGCGCCGACCCGAGCCATGCCTCCGGGCTCGGCCCTCACCGCTGCGCTGACGTCACAGGCGGCCCACATCGCCTTACAGCCACCGACCCAGACCGGTGGCATACGGTGTGTGTAGGCTGTGCCGCTTGACAAGTAAGTGAAGCGGCACAGTCTACCGGTACCAGGCGGCTGCTGCCAATGCTGAGCCATAGGAACCCGGTGGATAAAGAGTTGTGGAACATCAATCTGCCCCCGAGTGTACAGTGGATCTAGTAAGGATCTCCAGACGAAACTAGATGGCGTTGACCCTCAGTCGAGTCCATGTGAGAATCAAGGAGAGGTCACTACCGAGCTGAGCCCGGTGGGGAGGTGACTGTGAGGAGGGGCGAGGGGCAGGGGGTGGGCGGGGCGGCTGGCGAGGTCACGGTGCGGGTGACCTGTCAAACAGCCCCGACGCGGTGGGGCACTGCCGCAGGCAAATGGCGCACTCCAGCGTTGTTCCATATCGCAGTGGTGGGCCGGGCGGCCGGTTAGCTTGGCAGTTGGCTGCTTGGAAGGAAAGGGTAATGAGGCATGGGTTTGCTGTGGCCGGTTCATCTACTGTCAACTATGATGAACCCAAAGTAATGCAAATGTGATGTTGGTAATGCAGCTGGCAATGGAATGCTAGCGAATGCTCCGGGCGCCCAGTAGCTATAAGGATTAATATTATTTATGTCTCCTGAAATTTTCATTGAATATAATTCAAGCAATAGAAAGATCGTATCGCTCGCCAGTTTTTTTTTTTTTTTTTGACCGGCTGGCGTTTCTTGCGTAGAGCGCCCTTTGGCAAATAATTATCACGCAGGTGATTTTTTTACTGGTAAGCATTTTTATGCATGAAGTCTCGTGTTAAAAAAAGCTTAAAGTTAATATACGTGTAAGCTAAAAATAATAAGATCAGTAAATAAAAATTGACCCGAAATTAGCCTCTGTTTTGTCTGACCATGATTGCGTCTAAGACACCGGCCCAATCGGGTTCAACCCGGCCCAACCTGGTTTGGCTCCCCCTTTTTTAATATTAAATTTGGCCCGAACCTTTTGAATGAAAGGAATGACAAGGACAGAGTCCCCGCTAAGCTGAGCTTGTTGCGTTGACCCTGCTCTCTACCTTCCGATCAAGCAATTCCTGGTTTATGGCAGAATTGCGCGGCTATGTGCGCACGTTAAAATTTGGACTCTATAGAGTCCAAATTTTAACGTGCGCCTTATAGAGTTTAGCGTGCGCTCTCCAAATTTTACTCTATAGAGTCCAAATTTTAACGTGCGCACATAGCCGCGCACGGCCGGTCCCCTCACTGACTTCACCTGGCAGCGGCCTGCCACCAACCACAACCATACCCCCTGGAGGCTCAAAAACGTCAAACACACGTCGCGTTTCGAACCCGGACTTTTGCAACCGGGACGTGCGCTCTCACCAGATGGCACATGGAGTCCAACGCTCTACCGACCGAGCTACCGGGACGGACATTTACCTTGCGGTTTCGCCTCGTGACATTGACAGACGTCAGACACTTTGGCCGAACTCTAGCCGAAACACTGAGCAAGCTGCGCAGGGCGATAGGTGCTCGTAACGTTGAGGTTGAGTAACCTGTGGGCTGAATGCGATGCTGTGAGTTCGAGCCCCACTCCCGGGTCTGGTTTTATCTCGACACGAACCAAAACCTTTCCTTCTGCTGCAACACAGACAAACACGATGACATCTTTCCCCAATATCTTTCCCCAATATCCTCTCAAAAAGTCAAAATTATCGCTTATAAATGTTTAGCAAAGTTTCATTTTTAAGAAAATATTTTTGGACATTTTTCTGGAGCCATTTCAAATCTGTTTTCTTTTCTGATTCTGTTCGGCCCGATAAAACCCACCAAAACTGAACGTGCCAAGTGAAAAATATCTAACTCAAATAACAGTTTAGAACAGCCTCATCATGCATCATAAAAAGCATCATGCAACTATAGACTGAATAGTTGCATGCTATGAATGCGTCCTAGATTTCAATTACCTATTATTGTTCAACATTTTGGCTGGAACTGACGCTGCCTCTAGCTTGCCCGTTTGTTTGAGATAATGATTCCCTTCAGTCGCATTCTTGCTGGTTCCACATGAACAGGATACCACCATACCGGAGTGAACGCACCCGCAACCATCATCCCCTCCCCTCAGCCTCGGCGCAGTGGCGGGCGGCCCAGTCCCGGCGCTACGCACGCCCCATGCGCCGTGATACCGCGTCACTCCCCCTCCCTCCTTCCCCCACAACGACCGGTGACCTCACTTCCCTCGGGATTTGGACTCGCCCTACCCCGACCGTAGCGCCACGTGGTGGCTCTGGAGATCTTAAATAGACCCACTGTACATACCTCTTCCCTCAGCTGCTCACCAGTCGGGACATAACAGCGGGGTTGTACATACCTCTTCCCTCAGCTGCTCACCAGTCGCGACATAACAGCGGGGTCGTACCTTTTCCCTCAGCTGCTCACCAGTCGGGACATAACAGCGGGGTTGTCCACGCTGGCATCTACTATACGCCCGGCTCTCTGAAGGCCCAGCTGTGTGTCAGAGGACTGCGCATGACCTACGACTTCTGTGATCAGCACAACGTTCCTTACAGAAAGGTGGGCTGGCTGCTAGGTACTGCTGACTTTGGCCCATGACGTAGTGTCTTTTTCATAATCATCACAATGTCAGCAACGTTGAGCTCCTGTACCTACAGGTAATATACTAGGGGCGTTCAAAGAGTTCCCGGCCCAACCATGAAGGAGTTGAATTTCGCACTGCAACGCGGTGTGTTCAATGATGTGTTTTTGGGATGTCCAGTGTCCACTCACGAAGCCCGCCCATGACTGGGGGGGGGGGGGCTCTACAGAGCCCTCCTCCCGTTTTTCGGCAATATCTTTCAAACCGTTGAACGCATCAACACGAAACTTGCGGTACCTTCAGCGGCATCAATTTGACACCTTTTGTCTAAATTTCAACTTTCTAGCTACCATAGGGCAGCCGAAAATGACGTCAGAGTGACGTGATGTCGGCCGATTTCAAAGCAAATCATCGAACTACGGCAATCGCTCTCAAGGGCTCAGTTTTTAACCCTCGCCCCGCTGGGGGGGGGGGGCAATTTGCCCCCCGTGGTTTTTTCATGAATAGCAAAAAACGGCGGCGCCAAATTTTCAGTACCTTTCCGGGCATCTAGTTGACACATTCACACCAAATTTCAAGTCTGAGGTCACCTTAGGTCAGGAGTTTTTGAAGTCAAACTGAGGTCATCTTCGAGCAAAAATGAGCAAAAAACATGAAATCTTGAAACGCTCACAAATGCTAGTTACCAAGCAATTTCAAAGTTCTTTATATGGTCATGTAGACAAAAGACATCGCTACAAAACTGCTATGTCGGATTTTCAAAATTTTGGGATTTTGACCCCCAAAAATAAAAAACTCAAAAAATCCCAATTTTTTTCAGAATTTCGAAAAAAACGGAAAATATGTGATCAACCCTGCGCTGTTCTATATACAAACATACCAAATTTTAGATCGATACCTCCTTTTTTGGCCAAGTTATGGCGAAAAACTTCAAAATTGATGACATCATATTTTTAAACTCACTTTTTAGCAATTCTAGACCACCTAGCGCAAAACAAAAACCACCATTGAACTCGCCGTGACGAGCTGCATCGAATCGATACCCATTTTATGCAAAAATATTAACTTTGAAATTTGACCTGATTTGACCTGACCTTGACCTGACCTTGACCTGACCTCGACCAAAAAGCTAAGCTGGCCCCTAAGGCTGCCTGACCCACATAATCGCATTTGTCATGTAAAATGGACCATAGAACATGTATCACACGACACTTTCATATTGTGACCCCCCCCGTGACCTGACCTCTGTGACCTGACCTGGTATCAGTGACCTCAAATAGCAAAATATGTGTTTGAAGAACATTTCCCCATCGATGATTTTCAATGAAATGCATTTTACTCGATTTTACAACGCATTTCTGGAAATGCCTGTAAACGGTGAAAATTGGACCTTTGATCTGACCTGTGACGTCATCGGTTTGACCTAGGTCAATAAAATTGGGTCACAAGGTAGTTCCCTGATAGGGCTATCCAACACCGTTTGCCGCTTGTGACAGACAGACAGACAGACAGACAGACAGACAGACAGACAGACAGACATTACTTTATTTACAGTCACAGAGTCCAAAAGAAGACATACACTTTTGACTTTAGGTACTCATCGCACATATAGCACCGAATGCCACATTTTTCTTACAGAAGAAGAGCAGGCTACATCACTGCTAAACAAATCAGATACTATACTATTGGTCGTTTGTTGAAGGCGATTCATGAAGCCAAATACAGACTTCCAATGCATGGGGTCAAAGTTGTCAATTCACACAAACATACTAGATACACTACAGAGACGATTTTGTTTTTAGTCGTATCTCTCTCCAACGGGCTCTTGTCCCAATTATAGGAGAGAGAGAGAGAGAGAGAGAGAGAGAGAGAGAGAGAGAGAGAGAGAGAGAGAGAGAGAGAGAGAGAGAGAGAGCACCTGCTCCTCCCGCCGTCCTATTCCCCACCCCCCAGGCTACGGCTGAAGTGGGAGCCTACCCCACACCTGGTGACGCAGTCGGGGACGACGCCCGCGGAACGGGCGGAACCGGGAAGCGAACCCGAGACCCGGCACCGCCCGCACCGCGCGTCGACGCCTTAACCGACTGCGCCACCAGGGCCGATTGTAACCACTAACCGAAAAACATTTTCGCGGCATTGTTAAAACAGACCATGAATTTTCTATACACAGAAGCACGGTAAGAGTGCCACAAATACACACAACTGACACTTGAACAGTATGAGGAATACAAAAAACGTTTTACATCATATTTACACATTGAAAAATTTTCTTTTGAGTGAGTTAGACCGACAGCACAACAGCCTATACTGGTGGCGCAGTTCCGGATCATCCGACTTCGAGCAAGAGTTCGAAATGTGGTAGCCAAGGTATTTAAAACTATCAACATAAGATAGTACACTATCCTATCACACAGAGTTAGGTATATGTATCTGGCAGTGTCATGTGTTTAAAGCAGGGATGCGCAGCCGGAGCCGGAGCCGCCGGAGCCGGAGCCGGAGCCGTGAAACAATATAGCCCGGAGCCGGAGCCGGAGCCGGAGCCGTCAAAAAAGGGGGCGACTCCGGCTCCTTTAAGAGGAAACAATTATTTACCTAGTTCGGTTTGCCAGTACAAGGCGTAAAACAATGTGGTATTCAAAATAGCCTTGTTAAATAAATACAGAAGCAACGTGCACCAATCCCATCGCCTTTTTTCTTCCACCCGTATTTAATTGATCGCATAGGGGATGTACTGAGTAGGAGCCGGAGCCGCCGGAGCCGGAGCCGCCGGAGCCGGATCATTTTACTCGGAGCCGGAGCCGGAGCCGGAGCCGCCATGACATTTCACCCGGAGCCGGAGCCGGAGCCGAAGCCGATTTTTTTTTCTCCGGAGCCGGAGCCGGAGCCGGAGCCGTCTGAAATTTCCACGGCTCCGCATCCCTGGTTTAAAGGGTGTTGGAAGAATGGCCATGCAAACTGATTTCTTGGGATGAAACAGTATGTCATGATCACTATAAGAATCCATATTGATCATATATGATCATACATGAATATATGATCACTATAATAAGTCCATGTGGTATCTCTTCTCCTTCATGTCGGGCCGGGAAGTGTTTGAACGTCTCTCATACCTTTTTCAGAAAGCTTTCATCAATTTTCTACTCATCTGACCCGATGTTACAGCTAGTGTGTCATTGTTGCGCCTCTGGCCTCACATGCGTGCATTGCACAGTGGGGATTTTTTCCGATCTAGCGCCTATAAATTCAAAAAATATTTTTTGGATTTTTGTTTATTTTTTGTGTCAGTAGGGCTAAGAAATGTCTGAATTTTTCATATATGGCATTGTTTTATCTGTATGTCCGCAGCAAAACTAGGAAAAATGCGCCCAAAGTTCACACTCATGCGTGATTACTCAATGGGCTCAGCAAGGCCCGAAAGTATAGCTCAATTTCATTGTCCTGTCCTGTTGGTTTTAATCTTGCGAGGTCTTAAAGTTGCATATCGTCTGAAAGGCACCTTTATTAGGAATGGAATGGCAAACAGAAAGTATGCCACAACCTTACTAAGGTCACAAAAATGCCCTTTACAAAAAACCCTTACAGACACCATATTGAAGGAATGGTATTCTAAATAGATGTAGGAAATCAACAATGTTCTCCACACTTTTCCACTCCGAAATATATCCTATCGAATTCGCCACTTTCTTCTGCACAAGACAACGCCTAGTTTGGCTGCCGAAACTTGCCTGAACACGGAATATTCACATTAGAGTATCTTAACACCCCACTCGAGGAGCGCTAGGGCAAACAGCACGATATAGGTATGTTCCGGACATAGGCGAATAATTTTACTTTGTGATTTACATGATGCATATTTTCTGAGACACATTCATTAGGAATAGGATGACAAGCGTAAATTATACATACCGTAACCTTATTAACCATCGCACTTGTGGGGAGGGGGAGGGGGAAGGGGTCGGATAAAACCCCATGGTTTTCCGCAAATTACTCGCGCAAAAAGCGGCCGATCGCGCCGAAACTTTCGGTACCCTCGAGATCATCAATTTTACATCTAACCTAAAAATTTCATGACTCTGACCCAACTGACCTTTGACCTGTGGCATATTTTTCGAGACCATGTTTGGCCGGAATCGCGATTCGGCGTATGCCAGCTCACATTATCCGCGGTTTCCAGTCTTTTTGTGGTTTTAAACGTTCAAATATGTGAAATGATGTTGGTGCCATGCATAATGGTGGGTGTCAAGGTCACGTGAAGGTCAAGTCAAGGTCATTGACCTTTTGATGACCTTGGTTCACTTTTTCGAGTTTTACTTGTTTCTAGGGTAGTTTTTGATGCTGATTTCGATTTTAGCAGCCATTTGAATATTTACGAAGTAGTTCTGGTGCCTTCGTTCCATGTTACGAAGCTATCAGTAGTAGGTGACACTTCTATGGATGGCCGGCAGGACGCCTACTAGTTGATCTAACCTGACCTGACCCGACCTGGCCTAAATGCATAAAGACATCGTCTGTGATCAAAACTAACATGAAATTCGTGATCAGCACCCCAAAATACCCCGTAACACCCTAACTTTGCGAAGTTTCAAGAGGTCTCGATTTCCCAACTTTAGTTTGGTAATTAAACTGACTTGGAAAGTCAGCTTATGACCTTGGACTTTAAAATTGGATATATTCGGCCTCATTTCGTCATAGGCAGCACGCTTGACTTTTCCGCGAAGCTCTAGCTTGATCAGGGGCCAAACGGCTGAGCGGGGGGTCCAATTGAACCCCCTGTACTATGTTGATTATGCACATTTACAGGTAAAATTCTCACCAGGACACACCAGCCAACATCTGTGCACAATCTGGCTACAATTCTACCTATGGTTTGCCCTCTACGAATAAATACGTGCTAGATCGGAAAAATCCCCACTGTGCATTGTGTGGAAATGCGAATCATCAGATGCTATCAAAGTGAAAATGGGTCATTATGAAGACTGAAGCAGAAATATAATGGAAACAGAAGCCAACCGTTGAGTGTGCTGTGCCTTTGGGCTGGGCTGTGTGCGACATGGGACGTGTCCCGGCAGATCGGCAAGCTGATAGTGGCGCTGGACGGGACCGAGATGGCCGGCCTCCGGCAGCTGCACGAGCGCGGCCAGCGCAACGGCGTGCCCGGACTGGAGCTGCTGGACGCCGACGGCCTGCGCCACATCGCGCCCCACTGCACGGTCAGTCGGTCGGCCACACTGAGAAACAAAGCCACACAGAAAACAACGGCATGTAGTCTGTAGTCTGTACTTGTAACACATCAGTCATGTGTTAATCTCACTCAAAACACAATAAGCTGCTGGGCATATTTTCACGCTTGGCAGGACCCTCGACACGTTTGATAGCAATCAAATGACGAAGCACTCTGGTGAACAGCATTATATGTAAATAATTAGATAAATAAAAGAAGTTGACCTTTTCCTCGACATCAAAAATGTAAAAAGCCGAATAATATATTTAAAAAAAAAACAAAAAAAAACGGTGAGCTTTCGGCCACTGGCCTTTATCAAACCAACGTGATAACAATGTAACGTGACAACATTGACAACATTGTTACTACATTGTTATCACGTTGGTTTGATAAAGGCCAGTGGCCGAAAGCTCACCGTTTTTTTTTTGTTTTTTTTTAATATACATATTATTCGGCTTTTTACATTTTTGATGTCGAGGAAAAGGTCAACTTCTTTTATTTATCTAATTATTTTCAATATGTTCCTCGCTCGAGCACTTAGTAATATTAGCATTATATGTAATATGTTTAATGGAATTACCTTCTATTTAATGGAATAACCTTCTGTTCAAAATTCAAAAAATTGCCAAAAGTTACAAAAACACTTGAATATATTTCGGAGGCGTTCCTTCATCGGTTCAAGTGATTAACATTTAAAGAAGTGTGGAGCTAGAATACCACACGGGTATTGATCATAGGCCCATGTATGGTATGAGACGTGTTTCGATTTGTCGAACAACCCTCCCCCCCCTCCCCTCCCACCACCACCACCACACTTCTTATGTGAAGCGATTATTATTGTGTGTTCTCGCGGGTTTTAGCGGTAGGTTTTGCACCTAGAAAATTTAGTATACTTCAGGCTATATCTTCGTCGTCTTAAGCTTTTTCTGAGATATAACCGGAAATGTAAAAGTGCAAAACCTACTGCTTAATCTCGCGAGACCTGTACCTATTTCTCTGTCTTATTCGACTGCTCACCTATAATATGCTTAGGCTCCTTTCTTTCATACTTCATTCATTCGTGCATTCATTCTATTCAGTCATTCGTTTGCATACTTAATTATCCTGTCAGGCAGCGGTGTTTACTTTTGGTAGGCATAGTACTGATGTGACCTGCCTAAAATTTTTTCCCCATTCATCCCTGCCCGCTTTCTCTCCCCCTATCTTGTAACCTATTAACAGTGTAAGTGTGAACAGTATCAACATTATAACCTATTAACCTATTAAGTGTAGGAGTTTTGCATACTTCTTAACCCGTTGGGGGGCCCAGCTCGAAGGAATAGGGGCCCATTTGAGGCGGCCTTCGGCCGCCTCAAATGGGCCTCTAACTAATCCTTAGACCACCGAAGACCTGTACAAAGGGCTCTCAAATGGCCTTAAAGGGCCCTCAGATGGTCTCAAAAGGCCCTCAGATGGCCTCGAAGGGCCCTCAGTTAGCGTCATAGGGCCCTCATCTGGTGTCAAAGGGCCCTTAGATGGTGTCAAAAGGCCCTCAGATGGCCTCGAAGGGCCCCAGATGGCCTTAAGGGACCCTCAGATGACCTCAAAGGGCTCTCAGATGGCCGTAAATGGCCCTCAGATGGCCTCAAAGGGCCCTTAGCTAACGTCAAACGCCAGCTGGTGCCAGATGGCCCTCAGCTGGCGCCAAATGGCCATCAGTAGGCCTCAAACGGTCCTCAGCTGGAGTCCAGCGGTCCTCAGTTGGCGTCAAGCGGCCCTCAAAAAGCCTCAAGGGGCCCTTAGGAAGCATCAAGGGGCCCTCAGAAGGCCTTAAAGAGCGTCAAAGGATCTTGAGCTAGCGTCAGAGGGCCCCCAGCTGATGTCAGAGGGCCCTGAGCTAGCATCAAACTTAAAGGGCCCTTAGCTGGTGTCAGAGGGCCCCAGTTGGTGCCAGAGGGTCATCCATTGGCGTCTAATGGCCATCAGAAGGCCCAAAAACGGTCCTCAGCTGGCGTTCAACGGTCCTCAGCTGACGTCAAGAGGCCCTCAGAAGGCCTCAAAGACCCCTCGACTGCTCAAAGGGCCCTTAGAAGGCCTCAATGGGAACTCAAGAGACGTTAAACGGCCGTCAAAAGGCTTGAAAGGGCCCTCTGCTGATGGCAAAGGGCTCGCACCTGAGTCAATAAGAGCCTTGTCAAAAACGGACCTGAGAAACCTTGCCGCCCTTGGTTATCTGCGGGACTCCTACAGTTACCTGAGTGGCCCCCGTTTACTGAGCGGCCCTGGTTATTGATGGGTCCCTGATTACTTGAGGCCATCTGAGGGCCCTTAAGGCCATCTGAGAGCCCTTTGAGGTCATCTGAGGGCCCCTTAAGGCCTGGTTACCAGAGGGGCCCATGGTCACCTGGTGGGCCCCTGATCAATTGAAAATCCCTGGTCATCTGAAACGCCCCTGATTACCTAAAGGGTCCCTGATCACTTGGATTCAGTGACATAGCAAGGGAGCGAGGGGGGTACGTGCCCGTTCTCGGGTTTAGGGTTTCTTCGAAACCGAGGGCCCTGTGGCGCCAGTTGGTAGCAGAGAGTTCGCGCTGGCCGCACTTCAACTCGGAAGGACACCACAGGGCTTGTGGGGGCACGTTATTGGCTCCTATGTAGCCACAATTATCTTCATAAAGGCCCAATGCCGGTTTCTGAGAGACCTCGCCGGCCGCTCAGGGCCCTAGTAACGGCCAACGAGGGATTGGCTGCTATGGCTCCACATCCGTCTGTGATAGACACACGGCCCACACCAGTGTTTCTAAAGGCACCCACAACGGCAACTGCGAGGCCCCTCGCGCCACCTCCAAGGGACCCCCCACCAGCGCATCTTAAGGGCCTACATCGGCGGCTCTGAGAGTCCCCACACCGGCGCCTCTGAGGGCCACGTACCAGTGACTCTGAGGGCCCCTTACTAGCCTCTGAGTGTCCTTACCAGCCTATGAAGGGCCACTTTCCACCTGCAGGCCATTTTGTAGGGCCACACACATGCCAATGATGGCCCCACCAGTGTCTCTAAGCCCTAAGACCCCGCAACGGCGCCTGTGAGGACCCAACACCAGCGCATCTGACGGCCTTTCACTGGCACCTCTGAGCGCCCACACACCGGTGACTCTGAGGAGCTCGCTCGCTTCGCTCGCTCGTAAAATACGAGTACCATGTACAATGTACATTAGGCATTAGTGTACATTAAGCACACTCCTCGGGCATAAATGATACTTTTACTTGCCAATTTTCCACATTTTCTCATGCAAAGACCGTTTTAAAGAGACCCGTCTGCCAGTGAGACTGGACCCACGGTGCCTCCCTCCTCCTATCGAAAGGTCCTGGATACATCCTTGCCTGGGCTGACCCCGGGCCCCCGGGTGACTCGCGGGCCCGGGGTCAGGTGACCAGCAGGTGACCCCCACTTGGGCGAAATTCTGGGTACGTGTCCGACATGCATCGTACATAGTCCTGTTGATTTGATTCATCGGTTAAACATTAAATAAAAGTTATAAGCTGGATCCCTAGTCTGTGATCCCGCATCGTATCAGATATAATGACATTTCATGTCGATGTGCCTAAAGAATATGCGAATTTACGTGGAAAAGGAGTGCTGCTCCCGCTCCTACACATCCGGGCCAAACAGTGACCGGCCCCTGCTTCCAGCCACCCGGGGCCGGTCGGCCGGCCGGCAGTTAATAGTCGCTGCCCGGGGCTGATTTCTGAGGGACTTGCAAAAATGTTTATTAATGAAATATTTTACGTAATAAATTAGATGATTAGGTATATGTACCGGCTCTGAGTCGCATTTGAGAAAAAAAGCATGCTAGCGTAAAAATATTAATGTTTTGAAAATTAAGCTGGTTCCGAAATAATTGTTTTACCATACATTGACAAAAGCTCAAGCTTCAAACCAACCAAAATATAACCCCGTGGGCCGTATTTTTTTGGGGGGGGGGCCTTCGGCATGGGGGCCCAGTTCGAAGGTCGTGCCCCCCCCCCTTCAAAAATCCTGTGTGCGCGCCTGCCCCCCCTGTCTAACTTCCGAACCGATGGTCGTAGAAAGACGGGAAAAACGGCAATCGAAAGCTCTCAACAAGGCGGATCTTAATCCGGCAGTTGCGGGGGTATTTCGCCACCCACCGTTTGCTGGGGGGGGGCGTTAAACGCCCCGAGCCGATAACTCGAGAACCAATAGGCGCAGCGAAACACCGCATGAGGCGGCAAACGAAAGAACGCGACGAGACACTTCAGATCAGTACTTAAAAGTTGAATTTTGAGGTCACAGGTCGGGTCAAGGTCAGGTCAAATACCTAAAATCGGGCTTTCAGTAGCATGGACTTCAGGACTTCGCAATTGGCGCCTCTCGTCATAAACTCTGTCAAAAGGGTGCACAAACCTTCAAATAAGGCCTACAAGAGTGTCAGCTCCATGTAGGGGTCAGTCAAGCATTGGTCAGGGTCAAGGTCAGGTCAACCAGGTAGGCACATATCTTCGAAAATCAAAACTGATATTCGCAGCCTGTGACACATGTTTTATGGATAATTTGGGGCGTAGAACACGATGGTGACATTCATTTTGTCATATGTGTACGTGTTTGGCTCAAAAAGCTCAATTTAAGAAATGCATGTGTCATGGTCGTGAAGTAGTCACGAGAAATTGCCAAGATTCAGTTCAAGATTTTGGAAAATGCGGATCGATAATCAATAATCGAAGATAGCCATTTGATTGTTCATGGTATTGGCAGTCTTAATGGCTGTCTGTACAGTCACCAGCACTTGCTACTAATCACCTCGTTTTTGTTCAGTAGTTTGAACACCGATCAATTATCAGTCGCCCAAGATACGTCAAACGATGCATTTGGTCCTCCGATTTTCGAATATCTAACTTGTTTTTGTATATTCGAAGCATTTTGGGATGGGGAGCCAAAAAACCTCTTTTCTGCCCTAAAGTGTGCCCCAAGAAGTCGTAGAACCTAGCCCCGCC